CAGCCTGAACCGTTGAGAGTTGAGTAGAGCTGATTCTGAAGACTAAGCTGTATGTGTCCTAGTCGATCTTCACGCCCTTCATCCGCATGCTCATGCATAGTTATGAATGTTAGGCAACGACTGGTAAATTTTGATATTGGGCATGAACGGCTGAAATGGGCTTTCTGAAACGAATTGCTGGGCTCACGAGATATCTGAGACATCCGTGTTATAAAAATGCTGCTTCTTCGGATGAACAAATGACTGCTACGACGATTTGGACACGTCATGCGAATGTTCTCAGAAAGGAAGTTGGAGCAGATATTCGCTGTTCTACCAGGGACGGCCAAGAATAACTGGAGAAAATGTCTGGAAGGACTTTGTTCGAAACTCAAGCCATCTTCCATCACTGGCAACGGATCAGACACGTTACAGACACTGTCTGAGACATCTTCATCTGCCACCTGGAAACATAAGCAGTCGTCGAAACTCACTGACTGACTGGCTGATGTTTCCTCATGTTTGTGTTTCGAGGCAGGTTCGCAAACGTGGAGCATGTCTGATTGCCTATGTGCATGAACAGTGCATTGCAAGCAACCGTTTCCAATGGAGGACAGAAATGACAGCTGTGTGTCAATGGCAGGTGATTAGGCAGTGTCTGAAGTGGCGATAGATGAGGAACCACGCATCGTTATTTTTTGTCGTCCTAACTTCAAGCGGCGTCATGTAGAGACGGTGAGCGGCAGGAGAAAAAGTGAGAAGACGAGCGCAACTGCGATACTCGATCTGCGGTTTGCTTCGACGCTGTGATGTCGAATTGGAATTGGGCGTTACTCTGCTCTGCTCCATGGCAATCGTTTGCGCCAGACGAATGGGACAATGCTTGTTCGTAATGAAGCCTTACACACGGACCGGATGAGCACCTTCCAGGAGCCGTTCATCTTCGATCAGCGATCTACATTCCTCGCAATACCAGTTCATATGCACATACTTACAGCTGCCACTAATAACGGAACGATGAGTGCAATGGCGCCCTGGCAACTCTTCTCTCACTATCCAGTACTCATCATCGTCAGCAACTCATAAGCACTTTAACGGATCATCGCCATCGCGCAAAAACCGCAGGTAAGACAACTGTGAACAAAATGCTCTTTACCTCTTTTCAAGTGTACAGTCATACAGTCACTGTCTCATTTAAAAATATTTTTAAGTTGTACCATACATGTGCTTTCATAGTGTGCGTCATCTCTTCTAAAAAGCAGTTATAAACGGAGTGTTCACCGTTATTGAATATCAAATCAGACGTAGATATAAGATGCAGATTATATTCACTAGGTTTCTCGAAGAGAATAAATTGCTATTTTCTCTAAATCTGATTGATAGGTACTTTGCTTCACTTACAAGTTAAAAATATTCCTATTGTGACCGAATAACGCATCCTCGGAATAACCATGGTCGTGTTATTTGTCATTTTGAATCAGACTTTTTCTCAGAATAAATCAATTGATTTATGGGCCATAACTCAATTTATTAAAAACTTATCGATTAATAGTCCGTAGCGAACATCCATCAATATAATAGTGGAACAGGGTCTACCGCCAATAATTGCATCCAGTCAGTAGATACGTTTGCATTCAAGAGACGAAGGGCAGCTTATAACCATTTTCAGAAAAAGTCATATTCAACCATGATAAATCTACCTGTTTATTCTATCAGCAACAACACATGATATTAGATAAGACATGCCATTTAAGCATGAGCGTTCAATAAATGATGAAGCAAAACATACAGTGATTAGAAAGATGAAGGAGACTGTAGGGGTTCAAACTGAGTCGACCATTTTCGTAAAGGAATTTAGAGACCCCTTTCATATACGCAAAAAATTTCTAAACGTTTCTTTCGATAAGGTCAGTTTTATCACCTTCCACGAATGTTTGACGTGTCGATCTAAGGTTCGAGCCAAATCTATCAAGTGGAATATTCGTTCAATTTATTACCCAGAATAGACAATAAATTTAAAGTTACTCATCGTTACCAACAGGAACTTTCAAACATGTGATTATCTTCAGAAACGGATTTAATGGCGACAGGATTTTAAAGCCTGTTACCAACTTGCAATATTTTCTGGAGGATTTGACGGTAGACAATGATTTTTCAAACTATCTCGACTCAGAGTTGAAGTCAGCAGCGGAATGCATCGTCTGGTTCGATACATCAGCAGATGGCTGAGCTGGAGACGTCATAATTCTATTTTGGACGCAGCCGCCGCAGTTCAGCTTGACAGATGCCTGCGCCGGCTTAATTCGTCACGCTGCAGCGAACCATGGGAAGATACCCTAAGCTACACGACTATGCGACAAAACGACTAACGTACTCGCATGATCAC